ATATTTTATAGAAACTACATGGGAAGAAAATAATTCATATTCAAAACCCAATATTAATAGAAGATAGAAAACCAAAACCCAATACTAATTATTTTTTTATAATCTGTCTCAAACCAAACAAAAATACTCGAACAAAAATGTTTTGATCCCACTGTCAGTCCATCTTTTATTTTTTTCTCATGAAAAACAACCATAGTGCCGTTAAAAAGTTTACAAACAAACATGAAACCGGAAATATAAAAGCCTAGAGTGTTGACAAAAGAAAGAACTCGAGTTTCATAATTTCCTTCAACATCAACCACGAACCTATAAAGCATATATTTCTTATCGAACATCTCAAACACAGTATTCACATTATCCATCTTCACAATTTCAACCATCAACTCAAACATTTTTCCTTACAAAAAATCAAGCATTTCCTCTATGTTCTTTACGCATCCTAGCGTCTATAACTCTCATTATGCTGCTGCTATTTCACTTTCCCCTCCTATTTTCGCCTCTGCTTTGTCTTGTCGATGTTTCTCGTCATGAACAACCTCTTCGTTCTCAACTTTATGAAATTATAATCATATGTCGGAGCTATTATCATACTATCAAAACGATAGAATGATAATTAGCAGAAAAAAACATATACACGAGAAAACTAAAAGACGAAAAAAATAATATTCAATGCTAAGGTTAAAACTCTTCCTGATTTCATATAAATCGTCTTTGGTTACATATAAATNTAATATATCATTGAGCTATNTAAGAACTTGGCTTTAACAATTAAAACATATAAACAAAAAATTTTATTTTCTAATATATAGTCCAATGATGAAGACCGAAAGAAAATCAAAATTTGTCATTACCTCCTATTAGTGTAATAAGCTCTATCACCATTAAAAGAATAACCATAAGTCTTCAAAAATGTCATCAGATTCGTCATTAATCCTTACTCTTCATAAGTGCTCTACACATGCAAAAAACATAATATTATATACTTTGAAACTTTTGAAGATTCCT